TATTTATTTATTTATTTATTTATTTATTTATTTATTTATTTATTTATGGACCAGTAAATAACAATAATAGTACTCAGTGCTTTTAGACATTAATATTCATAGCAATCCTCTCTTCCAGTTGTAATGAGAAATTGAATGGTATTTATTATGTGTATGACACTCAAAATGACGAAGAAGAATGTTCTAAATGTAGCCAAAGACCAGCCAAAGACCAAGCCAATTCATAATGCTAGGGAATTGCTGGAACTTTAGCATTCTGACAAATCAGCTATCAACAGATAAATAGAGACAAACCCACCTAGATACTGTAGAAAAAACAGAATCAAAACTGTTCTCTATTTATATGATATTTGGGTCCTGCATATGCACCATATGGTGGAAGAAAAGAAAGAAAGAAAGAAAGAAAGGAAGGAAGGAAGGAAGGAAGGAAGGAAGGAAGGAAGGAAGGAGGAGGAGGAGGAGGAGGGGAAGAAGAAGAAGAAGAAGAAGAAGAAGAAGAAGAAGAAGAAGAAGAAGAAGAAGAAGAAGAAGAAGAAGAAGAAGAAGAAGAAGAAGAAGAAGAAGAAGAAGAAGAAGAAGAAGAAGAAGAAGAAGAAGAAGAAGAAGAAGAAGAAGAAGAAGAAGAAGAAACTCTGCCATTTCACACAGAAAAAAACAGCAAAACTAAGCTGAAATCCTTGAGAATCTTCTAGGGCTGCTCTACAGAATTGATAGGAATGACTTTACCTAGTAAATGGGTGTTTTATGACTGGCCATTAGTAAGAAAATATTGATAAGAGCATCCAGACACACTGTCTGCTATGATGAGGAACCAAGGAACACAGTAAGCATGCTAAAATACGTATTTTAATTTTTTATTTGCTTTTAGATGTAGCTGTTGGCTCACAGTTTATTGTCAGCATTCAGACATACTAATCAATACAGCATAATTAAGGAGCTTCAGAACACTACAAGCAACTCCCATTTAGATGCATCTTCTTGCGTTGAAAATCAGGCTTCAATGAGTATAAGATAGAAAAGGGGGGAAAAAAAACCAAAGCATTGCAGTTCACACTTCCCAATCCATCAGGCTGAAGATAGCTTAGAACCATAGGGCACCGCTCAAGAATTTGCATGTGGCGTTGCCTGGGAATGTTTTTTCTTCCTTTTTATTGTGTTAATATATTGTATTGTTGAAATAGAATTATATTTATGCAGGGATTTTGGAAACTGTGTTCTTGGAAGGTGAAAGGTTAGAGAAAGCTAATTTCTGCTATTGGCATGCTTCCTTGAGCACGCAGATTAGGGATCATGCAATCTGTATGAACATTTGCAACTTACTCTTTTCTGCCCGCACCATTCCTGATGGCCCACAAAACTGGAAACAGTAGAACATATCAATACTTTTTAAAAAAGAAAATAGAACTCAGTTACAAAAAATATGAAGATGGCATGAAAGAAAGCAGATAATAAAAATAAGAAGAATTTTGTCTGGGAAATGAACAGCTTCAGAGACAGAAATGTCTTAGTTAATAAAAACGCAACAGAGAATGTCCGAGGAAAGAAATGCCACAGTTTTAAGTGCCCTAAATCCAGAACAGAATCTGAGACTTTACTAAGGCATTACTAAGAGAAGAATTTATAATAATAATAATAAAGTTGAAAGAGACCTTGGAGGAAGAGTCCTTGGAGGTCATCTAGTCCATCCCCCTGCTCAGGCAGGAAACCCTATACCATTTCAGACAAATGGCTGTCTAGTCTCTTCTTTAAAACTTCCAGTGTTGGAGCATTCACCACTTCTGGAGGCAGGTTGTTCCACTGGTTACTTGTTGATAAAACTTCATAAAAAGACGTTCTTTGATATAGTGTTGTATGTAGTCCATTTTTCTAGATCTGTAAATCTCCAGGCAATCAGTTTTGGATTTTCATATCCAAAGAGTTAAATGAAAAGATTAGCTGGATCCCTCATAAAAAGCCCATTAAAAATTGTGAGCAATGTGTGAAGACTCGTTCTTGAGAAATCCTTAGATGCCGACATAAATACTCTAGATCAGGGGTAGTCAACCTTGGCTCTTTTATGACTCGTGGACTTTCAACTCCCAGAATTCCTGAGCCAGCTTAGCTGGCTCAGGAATTCTGGGAGTTGGAAGTCCACGAGTCATAAAAGAGCCAAGGTTGACTACCCCTGATCTAGATGATGTTTTAGACCATTTGGGCCTTTGCGAAAAGCAGTTTAAGGAGCATTGCATCCATGATGCATAGAAAGGAAAGAACTGGGAGAGAGAGAAAAAAATCTGTTAAATACCGGTACTCTGGATAAACATACATTTAATGGTATGGCAAGCTCCAGAGAGACCTTTTGTTTTTCATTTCCTTATAAAATTCATGAACGGCCTTGAAGAACAGCGAACTCGTTTTATCCAAAGAGAGAACCTAATGTATGTGTATTGTTTTGCAGCCAAGGTAATGCATGATGCTCTCTTTATGTGGTGTCTTTGCAGATGGATGCCCGGGTCTGTGTTATGGAAATGGAAGGTGTACCCTTGACCAAAATGGATGGCACTGTGTCTGCCAAGTGGGCTGGAGCGGAATGGGCTGCAATGTTGTAATGGAAATGTTTTGTGAAGATAACATCGATAATGATGGAGGTACGGAGAGAGTTAATGCTCGAGAGCGTATTGGTCTCTTTTCTGAATGAATGAATCTTCTATAGGATTTCAGTTTCAATGGACTGTAAGCAGCATGTAGCAGTATACTTCATACAAATAGTCCTTGACTTACAATGATTCGTTTAGTACCCCAATGCTTTGTGAAGATAAAATCGAAAATAGCAATAGCACTTAGACTTCTGTACCCCTTCACAGTGCTTTTCAGCCCTCTAGAAGTAGTTTACATTTTGACCCCAACAGTCTAGATCCTCATTTTACCGACTTCAGAAGGATGGAAGGCTGAGTCAACCTTGAGTTGGTCAGGATTGAACTCCTGGCAATGGGATGATAGATAGATAGATAGATAGATAGATAGATAGATAGATAGATAGATAGATAGATAGATAGATAGATAGATAGATAGATAGATAGATAGATAGATAGATAGATAGATAGATGACAGATAGATAGAAGATATATGGATAGATGATAGATGATAGATAGATAGATAGATAGATAGATAGATAGATAGATAGATAGATAGATAGATAGATAGATAGATAGATAGATAAGTGATAGATGACAGATAGAGATGATAGATGACAGATAGATAGAAGATATATGGATAGATGATAGATAGATAGATAGATAGATAGATAGATAGATAGATAGATAGATAGATAGATAGATAGATAGATAGATAGATAGATAGATAGATAGATAGCAATAGCACTTAGATTTATATGCCACTTCACAGTGCTTTACAGCCCTCTCTGACTGGTTTATAGAGTCAGCATCTTGCCCCCAATAATCTAGGTCCTCATTTTACCAACCTTGGAAGGATGGAAGGCTGAGTCAACCTTGATCAAAGTCCTGTCTGTGGGCAGAGTTAGCCTGCAATACTGCATTCTAGCCACTGTGCCATCACAGTTTTTAACATTGATAATGATGAAGATACGGACACAGTTAATTCTTCGGAGTGTATATGTCATTTTTGTGAACAAATGAATCTTCTGTAGGGTTTCATTTACAATGGACTTGAAGCAGCGTACAGCAATATGCACAATACAAATAGTCCTTGATTTAAAATGATTATTTTAGTATCTGTTCAAAGTTATAATGACACCCCCCCCCCAAAAAAAAGTGACTTACAATTGGTCCTTGCGCTTAGAAACATCACAGCATCTTCATGGTCAGAATTTGGGTTCCAGGCAACTGGCAGGTATTTATGACAGTTGCAGAATCCGACCACAGCATAAGAGGTGTGGTGGCACAGTGGTTAGTAATATTGCACAGTATTGCAGCCTAACTTGGCCCACTGCTAGGAGTTTGATCCTGACCAGCTCAAGGTTGACTCAGCCTTCCATCCTTCCGAGAGTGGTAAAATGAGGACCCAGATTGTTGGGGGCGAAATGCTGACTCTGTAAACCGCTTAGAGAGGGCTGTAAAGCACTGTGAAGCGGTATATAAGTCTAAGTGCTATTGCTATCCCAGTGTCATGTGATTGTCATTGGCAGCCTTCCCAGCCAGCAGAGTTAACGGGAGAAGTTAGATCTGTTTAATGATTGCATGATTCACTTAACAACAGCACGTAACAACCATGGTAAAACCGTGGTAAAATAAAGGTTATAAAACTGGGTGCGACCCACTTAATAACTGCCTTGCTTAGCAGCAGAACTTTTGGTCCCAGCTGTGGTCAAGGAATGCCTGCAAATAGTATAGCATTCCAGCAATCCATCCAATACAATACATGGGGCCATATCCCATCCACACGACAGTGTTCTTCTAATCTCCTAAGGCCATAAGGAACATCCAGGTTTTAACAAGTTGCCAGAAAGTCACAAGGGAAGGAGCCATTCTCACCTGGGGGGGGGAGAAATTATTGCCTAAAAGCAGAGCTCCTGCAGACAGCTGAACGTCTGTGGGGATTCTCAGTCATTCAGGTCAGCCCTGCCCTACAACTTCGGTTCACGTTTGTTTTCTGAGACGCTTGACTGCCTTATCATTTGATTTCTGAGCTTCCCTTCACCTTTCATGTCACAGATGTCGTATCAAAGGCACATTTTTTTTCTGTCTGAAACGTCTCTGGAGCAGATGCAGCGCCACGGAGAGCTGATTTCAGCTTGTGGTGCCCATCTGTGCCAGCTTGGCAAGGCTTAGCAGGACCAGCTGTGTGATGTTGACATCCTCAGCAGATGCCGTTTCTCCTATGCAGCTCACAGTTTGCCTTAAGATTCATTCTCTCTCTCTCTCTTCTCTTCTTTCTTCTCTTCTCTCTCTCTCCTCTCCTCTCTCCTTTCTTCTCTCTTCTTTCTTCTCTTCTCTCTCTCTCTCCTCTCCTCTCTCTCTCTCCTCTCTTCTCTTCTCTTCTCTCTCTTTCTCTTTCTTTCTCTCTCTCTCCTCTCTTCTCTCCTCTCCTCTCTTCTCTCTTCTCTTCTCTCTCTCTCCTTTCTCTCTCCTCTCTTTTCTCTTCTCTCTCTCTGTCTCTCTCTCTCTCTCTCTCTCCCCTCTCTCCTCTCCTCTCTCCTCTCTCTCTCCCCTACTCTATTCCCCTTGTTTCACGGGGGTCTGCCTATTCCTAGATGGCCTTTGAGATCAGTCAAAGAGCTCCGGGGCTCCCTTTTTCTCTCTCTGCTGCCCAGCTATTGATCAAGAAGCATCAGCAATCAATTGTTAGAGAAGATTGTGTGGGTGGTTTGCAAGTCTCTAATTAAAGCTTTGGGGTACAGGATAACAAGGCAGCTTAAATCCACCAGCAACATAAGGCTAAACTGCATCTGGGCTGTGAGCAAGGATCATGTCACTCTCCCTTTGTCCCTCGCTGACTGTATGACATATCTGTGCCTCCAAGCAGAAGTGTGTTGTGTTTCTCTTGGTTAGACTGTGCCAAGTAGCTTCCAGTAAAATCCGAAGCATTCTAACCCCAGTGCTGTTGATGCTGATGCTGGTCTAGCTGCAAACTCACAGCCTCTCCAATCTCCTATTACAGGGAGATGTTTTATGAATGCAGCCCCTTAGAAAGAAGACGCTAGTATCTCTCATATTACCAAATAACAGAATAACAGAGTGGAAAGTGACCTCGGAGGTCTTCTAGTCCAACCCCCTGCTTAAGCAGGTGACCCTATAACATTCTGGACAAATGGCTGTCCAGTCTCTTCTGAAAAATCTCCAGGGGTGGAGCAACCACCACTTCTGGTGGCAAGCTGTTCCACTGACTAATTCTTCTTACTGAGAGAAAATATGTCCATAATTCTAGACTGGATGTCTCTTTGGTTGGCTTCCATCTGTTACTTCTTGTCCTGCCCTCGGATGCTTTGGAGAATGGGTTGACCCTCTTCTCTGTAACAGCCCCTCAAATATTGAAAGACAGTTGTCACATCATCCCTAGTCCTTCTCCATGATTATTCCTTTAAAGTTTCTGCCGAGGGTCCTTTTTTCTGTCTCCCTCTCCTGATGTGTAGTCAGATTTTTTTTTCTTGTCTGGGTTCTTGTTTTTCCACTGAACGCTTCATCCTTCATTGTTACCTGGATTAAAGCTGGGATGTAATTCTTTACTCTTCTGTGCACTGATGATGTTATCTAGCTTGATAATAAAATGTCTGCAAGAAAACAACCAAGCTCAGAGAGCACCAAGGATCCCACATTCCTAGTTCTCCTCCTCCTCCTCTTCCTCCTCCTCCTTCTCCTCCTCCTCCTCTTCCTCCTCCTCCTCCTCCTCCTCCTCCCAAACCCCACTCTCTTCTAGCACTGATAATGTTACCTTGTTTGGTAATGAAACGTCTGCAAGAAAACAACTAAGCTCAGAGAGTACCAGGACCCCACAGTTACTCCTCTATCTTGAGTCAAGCATTGCCCTGCCTATTAAAACTTTTTTTCCTTCCCTTCTTTTTTCCGTCCATTATTTTACTCTACCTATCTTTCCTTATTGCTTTCCTTGTTTCAAATGAAATTTTAAATTAGCTTAACAATTAGATCCATGCATACTGTTGCATTCTATTTTTTTCTAGTAAGCCTGTCCCACACTTCTCACTGACCTTGCAGAACAATCCGACGTATCTTTTTATATAGTAAAGTCTTTCCTTTCCAAAGTCTTGTGTATTGCCTGCCTCATCCTTCACTTCCTTCTCCTTACAAACCCTTTTTTTTCCTTCTTGCATTTCCATTCTTCAAACCGAAATCCGATAGCTAAACCTTCTGTTCCATGCACAAGCCTCATTTTTCTTTCTGTATCATATGCGTGGAATGCTTTGCCCATAATCTTGAAAAATACTGCTATTGCAAAATATGACTTGCACTTTCTCAAAAGCTCTTTTCCCTTGGGACAGAAGCTGAATACAGAATAGAATATAGAATAATGGAAGGGAGCTTGGAGGTCTTCTAGTCTAACCCCTGCTCAAGCAGGAGACCTTATACCATTCCAGACAAGTGGCTGTCCAGTCTCTTCTTAAAAGCTTCCTGTGATGAAGCACCCACAACTTCTGGAGGCAAATCGTTCCACTGGTTTAATTGTTCTCCCTGTTAGGAAGTTTCTCCTTAGTTCAAGGTTGCTTCTCTCCTTGATTTGTTTCCATCCATTGTTTCTTTTCTTGCCTTCTGGTGCTTTGGAAAATAAGTTGACCCCCCCCTCTTTGTGTCAGCCCCTCAAATATTGGAACACTGCTATCATGTAACCCCTAGTCCTTCTTTTCATCAGATTAGACGAACTCAATTCCTTCAATGTTCTTCATACATTTTAGCCTCCAGCACCCTAATCATCTTTGTTGCTCTTTTCTGCACTGTTAGATGTTTCTCAGATTCTCCCTTATTCCCAGGATGCTTGAGAATTTCCTTCATATTTCTCTGGATGAAGCTTTAGAGTTATCTCCATTATTTGGAATGGATGGAAGGTCTTATGGGTGTGGTTTGACTAGAACATGTTATTTCATTATTCTGAAGCCTCCGGGCCTGTCCAAACCTCTCAGAAAGCCTCATGACAACAGTTTCCTCATGAGATCTTATCTTGAGATGTAATGGATCTACCAAAAGCCAAGGGGCTGCAGATGTCTGGAGGAAGAGTTGTCCAATTAGAGAAAGAACAGAAGACATCTTCTAATTCAAATAAGTGGAAGAGAATCACACACTGACATTTCTCCCAAACTTTCTCCTTTGAAATAAATTCATCAAAAACTCATTCTTATTATCCTGCTTGAATGAGGACTCACGGAAGAAACGGAGGGCATTTTTTACTACTTGAAATAGTAGTTTAAATAATTGCCTGAGCTCGGAAGTAAGAAAGTCAGAGAAATGTTACAGAGATAGCTTCTTCTCTTTCTTATTTTCTCATCCTGCCTCATTTTTCATTCTCTGTTTCATCCTCATATCTGACAGGTTTTTCTACCTCCTCCGTCTTATTCTCTCTCTCTTTTAAGATTACGATCTTAGGAACTGCAGCTACTCTGGAATTTCATCATGTTTTGTGACCTTCTGACAGGCAAAGTCAATGGCAAAACCAGATTCACTTAACAACCGGGTTACTAATTTAACAACTGCAGTGATTTAGTTAATGTGGCAAGCAAAGTCACAAAATGGGACAAAACTCATTTAACAAGTGTCTCACATAGCAACATAAATTTTGGGCTCAATTGTGGTCATAAGTACTGCCAAAATCAGGTACAATATGCCTTTCCTTTCTGTTTGTTTGTTTGTTTGTTTGTTTGTTTGTTTTTAAAAAAGGATTATCTTCCCAAAATGACTCATCGTTTATTGCACCTGATTGAAGGAGACATCAATTGTAAATCTTTAAAAATGGAGCCCCCATGAAATTCACTCCTGGCTTTAGTTGTCATTCCCACCAGGATTCTGGAAAGTGAAGAAGTTGATTGTCAAGCGCCGTAGAAATCAGGAGATTCAGGCAGTTCAAATGAGTATAAAGTATAAGTTCTCTACAAGAATCTGAGCTACTAACGGTCAAGGGGAAACAGCGGGAGTTAAGAAAGGAATTCATTTAGGGCTTGACTTAGATCTCTTGTGAGCATGCAGGAACTCATGACTTATGAAACATTTGACGCCTCCCTCCTGTTCAGGCTGGTCATCTCCTACATAGATAGGTTCACCCATCATGTAGGACTAGACCAGGGATGTCAAACTGCCAGCCCACGGGCTGGACGCGTCATCCAGAAGCCGCACCCACCCCATTGCCAGCAATGGCAAAACCGTCCCAATACGTTGCGACGTCACGAGTTTGACATGTCTGGACTAGACTAAAACATGGTTGGGGAGTTTGGACACTGTGTGTTATGAAACACAGGCCATTGTGTTAAGCCACAATATGACTTTTTAAGAACATTTATTAGAATGTTTATTCCCGTCTATGACCGTAATAAAGATTTGATTTGATCTGAATTGAATTAGCATGTAATTGAAGCACAATTAATTTTGTAAACCCAAGTTTAGGGCTCGGCATGTAGTGTTAATACAGCCAGTGTGGGTCATATCATGTGCTTTGCGTTCTGTAGGAAATAACGGTTCTAGTCTACCTCTGAGACTACCATCTATGGTTCTGACTACAGTATAGTTTACTCTTAGCTTATTCATACTTGCTTCAAGATGGGGAAAGTCCATATCTTCTAGTTAGGAATGTCTAAAATGTTTGAAGAGGATGAGACGCAATTGCTATAGATGGAGAGGTCAAGGGAATGTGTAGTGCAGAAAGATTTTATGTTCTCCTACCAGTTTTAATTTAATTTGAAGTATTTTTCAGAATAACATCAGAGGAAAAAAAGTTTCAGTAACATTCTCATAGGTGGAGCGTGGTGTTCTTACGTTTATTTAACAATGAGATAGTCAAAGGTTGAACATGAACAAGCTGATTTAAACCCCCATCCTTGTTATGTGCCCTTTTTCAATAAGATTCATCACTTAAGGCAGTGGTGGTGAACCTATGGCACGGGTGCCAGAGGTGGCATTCAGAGCCCTCTCTGTGGGCATGTGCGTCATCGCCCCAGTCCTGGGCCTTCAGCTGGGTTTTATAAAACCTTTTTGCTTTAGGCCTCCGCCGCCATGTGCAAAATAAAAAAAAGGTTCAATCAATCAGTCAATTTCAACTTCTCGCGGGAAAAAAAAAATCTTGCAAAGTTGGAATTGATTGATTGAACTTTTTAGTCCCACCCAGTCTGCCGTTACCACCGCAGCCATGCCCAGCCAATGGGCCACACCCACCGAATTGGCCACACCCACCTGGCACCCGACGATGCATAAGTGGGTTTTGGGTTGCAGTTTGGGCACTCGGTCTCTAAAAGGTTCGCCATCACTGACTTAAGGGAAAGTCCTGCCTTTGAGAAATGGTTTAGATTTGATGGAGAAATTTAGAAAGCGGTTCATGTCCAGCTTGAATCTTCTCCTTGAACTTCATCCAGACACACGAACTTGCATTTGCACACTTATCGTTTGATTAACAATTTTTGGGGGTTACATTTCTGAGCATTCAACCGTTTTCTTTATCTCTTCTGCAGTGTGTCTTTCTGATTTCCCCCCTTTTTCAGATGGTTTGACAGACTGTGTTGATCCTGATTGCTGTCAGCAGAGTAATTGCTTCTCCAGTCCTCTCTGCCAAGGGTCTCCTGATCCTCTGGACCTCATTCAGCAAAGTCAACCTCCTTTCTTGCAGCACTCACCAAGACTCTTTTATGACAGGATCAAGTTTCTGATTGGCAAGGAGAGCACTCATGTCGTTCAAGGCGATGTCTTATTTGAGAGCAGGTAAGTCTCCCTCCTTCCCTCCCTCTTATATCACAGAGATTTTTTTTTCTGAGTAGGACAGACAGCCAGGGACTTCCTAGATGTACAGGGACCTTGGATTATTAGCCATTTTTCCTGGTTTCTTGAATGTTACAGTTGATCATCTATGGACATTCTCATTCATCCAGATCATGGTTGTCCCAAAGGTGCTTTTCCAAAAGGCACGTGGACTTTCTTGGTTTCTTTTCTTTGAAAATGTTTCACTTCTCATCCAAGAAGCTTCTTCAGTTCTGACTGAATGGTGGGAAATAGAAGGATTTATATTCTTTGCAGTCATCTGGTCATTGTCCAGAATGTGAACAGAGAGGACCACTGGTTTGACCATCTATCAAAGACCTCTTGAACAACTTCTCTCAACACAGGGGGGTAGGATATGACATCACCTATCTCCTGTCTACAACAATGTCCTTTCAGCAGTCCCAAGAAGGTTCCACACCTGTTTGCACTCTGATTCAGGTGACCCAGAGAGGACAGATAAAGTCCCAAGTGGCCTCAATAACTCTCAGAGAGCTAATGAATGACTTTGAGAGTGCTTAGGATCATATGACTGCTAAGGAATATAAATCCTTCTATTCCCCACCATTCTGTCAGAACTGAAGAAGCTTCTTGGATGAGAAGTGAAATGTTTTCAAAGGAAAAAAAAACCCAGGAAAGTCTGGTTGTCTTTTGGAAAAGCATCTTTGGGATACAGTTGTTCAAGATTGGCTCCGGGAGTCTCAGGAGCTGCTGTTCCCGCATATCTGCCAGATGGAGAGAAAAAAGTGTCTCGAGATCGTTACGTCTTTGCATTACTTTCTTTCATACTGTGGATGTGCAGGAACTATGCAATCTAGCTCAGTGCCCTAATACGGAATGTTGGTCATTACTTGACCCAGATTGCTAGAATGATAATCTGATCCAATTTGTTGCTTGGGCTTGGAGCAAGATTTAGGAAAAGAAAAGAATTTTCTCCTCCCATAACCTAGAAAAACATAAATGTCTGTTCTTGTTTCTTTCCTTTGTTTTTCAATTCATTCAGAGAATGTAGAGCTCTACAGAAAAGTGGAATGTGGTGTTTAAAACTACATATCTTTAAAATCTGAAGTTCTGTCAACTTTGAAATTATCTGTAGCCCAAAAACACCACGATGTGGTTATCCAGTAATAGCCTAATCCAGTGATGGCGAACCTATGGCATGGGTGCCAGAGGCAGCACTCAGAGCCCGCTCTGTGGGCACGTGCGCCGTCGCCCCAGTCCTAGGCCTTCAGCTGGGTTTTATAAAACTTTTTCGCTTTAGGCCTCCGCTGCCATGTGCAAAAAAAAAAGGTTCAATCAATCAGTCAATTTCAACTTCTCGCAGGAAAAAAAAAAGATCTTGCAAAATTGGAATTGATTGATTGAACATTTTAGTCTCACCCAGTATGCCGTTACCACCGCAGCCACGCCCACCCAATGGGCCACACCCAGCCAATGGCCACACCCACCTGGCACCCGATGATGCATAAATGGGTTTTGGGTTGCAGTTTGGGCACTCGGTCTCTAAAAGGTTTGCCATCACTGGCCTAATCTCTAGCATCACTTTGATTGTGAATATACCTTTCAATTAGTCTTTCTTTTACTTCTCTACCTGGTGATACATAAATGAGAGGTATTGTTTGGTGCAACTGCCATGAACATACTACTTCATACTTTCCCAGATCCAGATAAAACCCCTATTTTATGTGCACACAATAAAATTATAATGTTGAATGAATAACTTATTCGAGGTAATATTCTCAACAAGAGGAAATGAACAAATATCACTAAAGCTCTTACCTTGAATTTATCTGTCTGGAATGGTTAATGCAATGAATTATATGTTTTTAAGCAAAGTGGTTTTGTGATAATTTCCCCAGCAGAAGTGCATTTCAGAAATTAATATCTCGTGTGCTGATAGCTAATGAATGCTGAAAATGTGTTCGATAGCAAACAATGAGCAAGACATTTGAATGCTACGCAGTAGACATGGTGTGGGTAGATGGGTGGAAGAATGCATTAATGAAGTTAATGCCTTATTACTAATAATAGATAAATAGACATAAGCAAATAAATAGTGTAAATAAATAGCCAACACTAAATCACTTTGTTTATCATGAATGCCACAAACCTTAATTTTCTATTCATATTGCAATCTACTCTGGAATATGTTGGGAAGCTCTGTCTATGATATGAGGTCTTACTTTAGATAAGTAGAGTTTGCTCTACATAGTAGATTTTAAATGTTTGTACCAGCACCACCGGTATATGATCCACTATTTTCTAACATGTTTTTTTCATGAAGAGGTGAAAATTTTGTAAGCTGGAGGGCAAAATTAGAGGGAATCAAACACAATTAGTCATAATTATATTGTAGTGAACGCTTTTGGTCATCAGAATATTTTAAAAAAGATGTTGAGACTCTAGAAAGAATACAGAGAAGAGCAACAAAGATGACTTAGGGGGCTGGAGGCTAAAACATATGAATAACGGTGGGTATGTCTAGTCTGATGAAGAGAAGGACGAGGGGTGACATGATAGCAGTCTTCCAATATCTCAGGGGCTGCCACAAAGAAGAGGGGGTCAAATTATTCTCCAAAGCACCAGAGGGCAGGACAAGAAACAATGGTTGGAAACTGACCAAAGAGAGAAGCAACCTGGAATTAAGGAGAAACTTCCTAACAGTGAGGACAATTAACCAGTGGAACAGCTTGCCTTCAGAAATAGTGGGTGCTCCATCACTGGAGGTTTTTAAGAAGAGACTGGACAATCACTTGTCTGAAATGATGTAGGGTTTTCTGCCTGAGCAGGGGGTTGGACTAGAAGACCTTCAAGGTCCCTTCCAACTCTGTTATTCCATTATAATATTTGAAGGTGGCAGCAAGGGAGTTTTCAGTTCTCTCCCCTGAACTGCATTGCCCATTTGCAGATTTATTTATTTAGCATTTGATAACTCATTTGCAGAGCTAGTAGGCCACTTGGCTGAACTTTTGTGCCTGGACCAGTTTCTCTCAACCTCTTTGGCATCTCTGAAACTTTATTGTTCTTTTTCTTCCTCTTCTTTTTCAAACAGATTTAAAGGCATATATTTATACTACCCTATTTCTCCCGGTGGTTTTAAATGCAAATTAAAATGTGTTCTCCTGTATGTTTACGTAATTGTCTGCTTATTTATTGCTTCCCCGCCATCTTTTTGCTAAAAGATATCAAGGCAGCATTCCAGAAGCGAACAACAAATGATGAAATGATCTTAAAACGAGAACGCCACCCAAAATATCAAGAAAGGAAATAAATACTAAGAGCTCTTACATTGGGCCAAGTTAAAAAAAAAACTGTGTCTTGGTCCTTTCTGTAGAAAGGGGGTTTCAGAAAAGGGGTTCACGCCATCTTGTGAGGTGGGATGGCCGAAACGCAACCACCCCTTTTATAAAGCAAACCCTGAAACATGGGCTTAAAATAAGCCATTTGAAAACCCAGAACAAAACATCCTTCCCAGCATTTCCAATCCAACATCCATCTAGCACTTAAAATAGGAACTTTTAAAGTAACTAGAGAGAGTGGGAAATGCCTTAACTTGATATATAAATGATGATGTACTGCAGAAGTATAAATTGAAGGTGAAAGATTTCATAAGCTTTTCTGCATATCTTTTTTTTTTCAACGAGTTACCTGCTTTTGCCCAGTTTCTGGCACTGTGCAGAAGCTGTCCATGTCAGTTTGAAATGTTCGTGTCTCAACTTGTACTTCGTATATACCCTATTAGGCACCAACGTGTGATTTTCGTAGAGGTGCATGTGTGTGTGTTTGTCTGGCTGAGCTGTGAATGCCACAGCAATCACAAGACAGAAAAGTACAAGATAAAACTGACAGTGTGCTTTGTTTAACCAGTTGGATCTTATTTATTTATATTTACAGGGGGAGACCACATTTTGAAACAGAACAACTCTGTTCTGTTCAGAGCCACAAATGAGGCAACTTTGACAACAATGTGTCAAAGCTAAAACAACAATAATCTTGTACAGGAAAGGCTGAAATAGTACTGTCAGGGACACACCAGGTGACTTCTATAAGCCAAGATTATTGCTAGAAATGGCTGCCACTTAGCCAGTGATCCTTGTTCACAAAAACAGTTAAGAGTTTTAATCATTGGCTTTTAGGTTTTCATTTAGTGTAAAGTGGACACTCTAACACTACATGGGAATTAGAACATGTAGATATCATTTTCGAAGAAGATGCTGATTTATTTGCCAGCTGTCACCCTAATAGTAATTGTGGGGTCCTTGGTTCCTAGCCGGTTCAATGTGCACACCAATCCATACTCAAAATCCTGCTTTAACTTCAAAATTGATAAATCTGCATAGCTCTGCTGCTTATAACAGTGACTTTGAGCGATGTTTGGTACTCACTGAGCTTGGTTGTTTTCTTGCAGACATTTTATTATCCAATTAGATAACATAATCAGTAATAAAAGGGGGTGAGGTTTGTTCTCTGTTTATATACAAGTCATTTGCCTTGAATAAATAAGTAACTCTCAGTCCAAGCTTTTTAATCTTTTCACCCATTGTACCACTTTTAGGATATGGCAATATCCGAGTACCACCAGTCGCCTAGCAAGGTGTCAAAAACCTGATGACCCCCCCAAAAAAGTGATAAAGTACAGGTAGTCCTCGACTTACAACAGTTTGCTTAGTGACTGTTCAAAGTTACAATGGCACTGAAAAAAGTGTCCCCCTCCAAGCCACAGCCGAGCAAGACACCTGCCTGCCCGCCCGACGGCGCTCTTCCTCCTGTCTGAGGTTTTCATTGTTGTGAGCATTTCTGTTGAGGATTGGATCTGGGAGTGGGGGGGGTGTTTGGTTTTTATTCCCCCCGTCTGCTGGATGGTTGCAGCAGGTTTTGGTCACTTCACATGACCCTGGGACACTGTGACCGTCATAAATATGAATCTGGAGACGCTGCAACATTCCAGCTGATCGGCGCTTCTTCTGGGCTCAGCAGAAGCGTCAGGATCAGCGCCGAGCTCCAGCTGGAGCCTGGTGCTGATCCTGGTGCTTCCACTGAGCCCTGACAGCCCTGCAGCTCCAGCCGTCTCTCGCTCAGGCTTGTGCGGTGCTGCCACCGGTTCAACTCATTCCCCTCCCCCGCTACCACTTTTCCAGGATGGTCGCGTACCTCCTGCCAGGTGCCAATGTACCACAGGTGGTACCTGTACCACTGGTTGAAAAGCCCTGAACTAGAGAAAAACTGTGATTTTTGTCAAATGCTGGAAAGGAAAAAAACCACAATAAGGCAAATCAAGATCGATTTGTCTTAAGAAGGACTCGGAGTGTTATCTGGCCAACACCTCTTCTTAAAGTAGGAATTGGATACCGTGATGATGAAAAATGAGTGGTTTTGGGAGGTTTTCAGGAAAACGTATGGGTTAAAAAGAAACTTTGTTGGTAAAGAGAGAGAGATCTGTGGCAAGAAGAAAGGGAGAAAGCAAGAAATTGGAGAAGTGAAACATGGGTTGAATTATATCCCACTCAGCATCAACCTAGGCCCAATAAAAAGAATCATTGTCCTTGCATTTTGTCCTGAGCTTCTGTAGGTGGCCACCACTTTCAGAACTAGGTGAACAAGGAGGTGAAAAGAGAGGGTAGCCCAGGAAAGGACAAAAGAGGACAGTGCTATATGAGATGAGCTTCCTGTAGACTTGCAACATACTGGTTGTGAAATATATTGTGCCGTGTGTCAGTTGTGACTATCTTAGCATCTTTCTTCATGGCCACCTCACTCTTTTGTCCACCTAGACGTGCTTGTGTTATCCGAGGACAAGTGGTAGCAATTGATGGAACCCCTCTGGTTGGGGTCAATGTGAGTTTCCAGCATCACAGTGATTATGGCTACACCATCAGCCGACAGGATGGAAGGTAAACGATTGTTGCTTTCATGTCTTCCTCTAATGTTTATTTTCTTGGGGGATTTTTTTTAATTAGGGAATTCGAAGAATAGGTTGAAAGCAAATGGAGGGGGGGGGGTTGAAGCCCAAGAGAACTTTGTCCAGTTCATGAATTAAAAAGCCACCAAGAATCTGAATGACTCAGCAGCAAACATATAACAACAACAGTTGAACATCACCGGCATTGACAACCTTCTCATCGGTCAATTGCAAAAGGCAGCTTTACTTGGAACAGCTTGCATCCTGCAATGATACTTGCAATATTATTAAAACAAAAATCTGCCTCATTCATCAGGATGGACTTGATAGCTGGATAAAAATGCCAACTCCAGTCTAAACATCTGGCTGAGTGTGTGGCCAACCATCATAACAATTACATTAAGCTTGTATGTAAATTAAACTTATGCCACCTGATTCTAAGGAATCTGAATCATAATAATAGATGACTCAATTGACTGACAACTGATTAATGAATAGATTGCATGTAAAAGATTCTGTACATCCAAAATGCAGTACTGTAAGATAGATAATAGATGATGATGATGATAGATGGATGGATGGATGGATGGATGGATGGATGGATGGATGGATGGATGGATGGATGGATGGATAGATAGATAGATAGATAGATAGATAGATAGATAGATAGATAGATAGATAGATAGATAGATAGATAGATAGATAGATAGATAGATAGATAGATAGATAGATAGATAGATAGATAGATAGATAGATAGATTAGATAGATAGATAGATAGATAGATAGATATGATGGACAGACAGATAGATAGATATAGATGATGGATGGGAGGGAGGGAGGGAGGGAGGGAGGAAGAAAGGAAGGAAGGAAGGAAGGAAGGAAGGATGATAGGGAGCGGGGGAATAAATAGGTAGACAGAGAGACAGACAGAGATTATAATAAGTGCAAATGACTCCACAGCAGAATGAAAATTTATTTAGGTTGTGGATTGTAATCTGTCAATCCAGTGTTGTTAGATATATGTTCTTTGACTCCCAAATCTAGGGCTAAGAGCCAGGGACTTGCCCAAATTCATTCAACTGGCTTCCATGCCTAAATGAGGATTAGACTTTGGTTTTCCCACTCCTAGTCCAGCATCATAACTGCTGTATCATATACACACATAATTACACATAGGCATATATACACACATCTATATGTTTTTTTTCCTTCCCTTCCTTGTGCAGTAACGCATCTGAACCAAAGGAAGTAAATAAAACCTCAACCTAGCCCTGAGATTAAAATTGGCTGATTAAAAGAGGGACCTACCAATTAATCAGTTCAACCAATTAAAGCTCACAGAGGCAGAAAAAGCTCATGTTCAAAAATTTCATGCTTTCGTTCCTGCTTATTGCAATGTAAATACTCTAAAACTGAGAGTAAAAAATTCATAGCTGTGGATGTAAGCAATGAAGCTTCTCTCTCTCTCTCTCTCTCTCTCTCTCTCTCTCTCTCTCTCTCTCTCTCTCTCTCTCTCTCTGTGTGTGTGTGTGTGTGTGTGTGTGTGTGTGTGTGAGAGAGAGAGAGAGAGAGAGAGAGAGAGAGAGAGAGATTTTGAAAGATCAGAGTTGCAAGTAATCTTTTTATTCCTCACTGTATATAATCTATGTAATGTTTGAGAAATTTGGTGGATTATTCATAATTAAGTCTAACTCCTTATCAGCAGTCATTACCAGGGAAGATTTCCATAAGAAGTGCATCCAGTCATAAAGTAAAAAAGTCTTATTTATGCCAACTTACTTGAAATGACAATATTAAAATCAAAAGACAATAAGTGGCTCTTTATCTGCTCTACATTTGTTTCTGGAATTCAGAAGACTTCTTTCTATCACTACCTACTGACTCTTAGTAAAAGCACAATGCAATTATACCTTTGGGTTTCTTTCTTTTGTGTGGGTCATACAGTTTTGGCTACACAAATGGAGGCATTCAGACCCTGATCATCAGGAATATAAGCAATCGCATGAAAACTCATGGTAGATGATACAGGCAAGAGTCTCTTCCAAATTACCTTCAGGCGTTGACCTCAAAACTGTTTAGCTCAGAGTTCCCATTGATTTTTGCTATGCGAGCAGCCTAGCAACTACTCAAGGCAGAAGTTTACTACAAGTTGCATCAGACTTCCCTCATCAGCTTCTTTCCAGAATTGTTGGAATTAATTGCCTAAGTCAATTTTATTTTGATCGATAATCAAGAACTTGTGTTAAAACATAATTAGGAAAGAAAAAGAGTGTTCAGACTTATATCAGCTGTCATCTCGTGTTCATTGTGACAGCACAAAATTGGACAGCTTCATATCTAAGAGAAGGAGGTTCACACAGACACTATCTGTTCTTGAGTGTTGATGCAGTAAAATGATATCTTTCTATTCAAGATGTCTTTTTAGAAGTTATGATTGCATATGAACAATTATTTCGGTCCTTCTGGATCATCTTAGGCACCTATGCCCAACTAGTAGGGTGCAGAAGGTAACTATGGAGATTTTCAAGTCATCCAGGTCATGGTTGTCCCAAAGGTGCTTTTTCCCCCCAAAAGGCAACTGGACTTTTGTTTTTTTCTTAAAGACGTTTCGCTTCTCATCCAAGAAGCTTCTTCCGTTCAGAACTGAAGAAATTTCTTGGATGAGAAGTCTTCAAGGAAAAAGAAAGAAAGTCCAGTTGCCTTTTGGAGAGAAAAAAAAAAGCACCTTTGGTGCAGAAGATACTTAATAGAAGAGCTGAAAACATAATGGGGTAGTTTTGGTTCCAAAGGGTATCCAGATAAATCAAATGGTTTTATATTGTTTTTCAGTTTTGATCTAGTGGCTGTCGGAGGCATCTCGGCCACCCTGATCTTTGATAGATCACCTTTTCTTCCCATGAAAAGAACACTTTGGCTGGCCTGGAATAGGTTTATTGTGGTAGACAAAGTGGTCATGCAAAGGACAGAAGCAGAACTGCCCACTTGTGACATCAGTAGCTTCATCAGCCCGAATCCAATCGTCATCCCTTTTCCTCTGACAACATTTGGAGGATCGTGTCCAGAAAGAGGGACAGTCATACCTGAATTACAGGTAAGAGAGATGGAAACAGTGTTGTTGTGTTATTGGGAAAAGAACAGAAATGGGGATCCCTGGTGCTCTCTGAGCGTGGTTGTTTTCTTGTAGACGTTTCATTACTCATACTAGGTAACATCATCAGTGCTGGTGGGGAGTGGAGTTTGCCCTCAACTGATATTCTAGTGGCTTCCCCTGTCACTGTTGGTGGGAGTGGTCTCTATTGGAAGGAACAGAAAAGTGTTCAGATAGGCTTCTTGGTCTATCTAAAGATTGTCTCTTGAATTTATTTTATTGATTAAATTTAGATGCTGCCCATCTCACTTTCAGTGTGATTCTGAGTGGTGTGCAATGAGAACAATAAATAAAAATTCTTGACATTAATTCATCCATTGTAAAGGTTAATAAATAAATTACTTTAGTGCCTTTAATATGTGCAGAAATATAGTTTATTTTATTTATTACATTTATACGCACCCATCTCACTGTCGAAGTGACTCTGGACGGCTTCCAAAATTTCTAGATTCATCAGTTTTTAAGAAGCTAGGCCAGTCAACTATAGCTATTCATTACTTATTAGCACTATGTGATTTATTAGATTCTTCTGACTTGAAGGCAATTTGATCAACTCTCTGAATTGAATCCATTTAATCTGAAGATTCTGCAGACTTTTGTACATGCATACATGTGCCTTTTAGAACTAAGGAGAAATTTCCTGACAATTAGAACAATTAATCAGAGGAACAACCTGCCTCCAGAAGCTGTGAACGCTCCAACACTGGAAGTTTTTAAGAAGAGACTGGACAGTCATTTGTCTGAAATGGTATAGGGTTTCCTGCCTGAGCAGGGGTTGGACTAGAAGATCTCCAAGGTCCCTTCTGTTGTTGTTGTTATAACAATTCAATTTCACAACTGCAGTTGCAAATGCAAGTGGATCGGATCAACTCAGTTATTAGGCTCAATTGCAAATAAATTGCAAATCAGAATTTGGCTGCTTTTAATTGCCACAGCAATTATGGCTTGGAATTCTAGGAAATACAGGTAATCCTCAACTTACAACAGTTTGTTTAGTGACCGTTCAAAGTTACAACGGCACTGAAAAAAAGTGACTTATGACCATTTTTTCACATGTACAGCTGTTGCAGCATCCCCTTGGTCACATGATCAAAATTTGGACACTGGGCAACTGACTCACATTTGGGCAACTGACTCATACTTATGTCGGTTGCAGAGTCCCAGGGTCACGTGATCCCCTTTTGCGACCTTCTGACAAGCAGAGTCAAACGGGGAAAGCCAGATTCACTTAACAACTATGATACTAACTTGACAACCGCAGTGATTCACTTAACAACTGCAGCAAGAAAGGTCGTAAAATGGGGCAAAACTCACTTAACATATGAATCCGCTTAGCAACGGAAATTTTGGGCTCAATTGTGGTTGTAAGTCGAGGACTTAGATATACAGTTCCAATTTATCTGGAACATGCCAAATTAAATTAAAACTTTGGCCCAGAGCAGTAACTACAAGCGGTTATGATCTTCTGCATGAAAAACCATAAAGCTTTTGGAAAGCAAAATTCCACTGACTCCCAAGTTTATTAGCTACTGTTGAAATATTTCCTATATAGAATTGTCTAGGCCAGGGGTAGGCAACCTTGGCTCTTTTATGACTGGTGGACTTCAACTCCCAGAATTCCTGAGCCAGCATGGCTCAGCTTGGAAACCTCTCCCTTTCCCCTCAGCATGGCTGGCTCAGGAATTCTGGGAGTTGAAGTCCACCAATCATGAGGGGGCCATAGTTCCCCC